AAAAACATAGATTTTGCGAATTATTACGTTCAAAATACTTGCTAATTTTTGTTTAATTTCTTTGCTTTGAATTTACATGAACATTGTTACATTCTTACTTACAGTCAAGTCAAGAAACCAAGCAAATCGTTACTCGCAGTGCTCTCTCGTGTTGTTATTCAATGCATGCTCTCTTCACACTCGAGCGCGGTTATAACAAACGTTTGTTGTAATGTTTTTAAAATAGGCCATTACATTTGTCCTTTCTTGTAAACGTTGATACGCTTTGCACCGATTCACGTGTTACTACGCGTCTTGTTTATAAGATTTTTAAAAGAAACAGTATTGTCTAGGACTGGCCCAAATATTAGCAAATGTAAACATTTGATAATAGCCGAACAGAGAAATGTCCATAAGCATAGAGGAAATTTCAGTCATTGATTTATCTGGATTTACTACATAAATTCGTATTCGGTAATTATAGTAAGCCTTTAGCCTTTTTCTTGGTCTCTATTAATCATTATATTGTGCTAATATACTATAATCTATATCACAAATTTACAGTGTCAGATGCGCACAGACCGTCATTTTGCGTCATACGAATAGACATAAATTTTCGAGTTTTCTACTTCTACTAACATTTTTAAAGTTTTCATTGTGAATCACCTGTTTATCTCTAATTCATTAATCATTTGCTACTTATATTTATTTGATAGTGTCAATGTCATATAGTGAATAATGCGTTTACAAACAAGCAATCCTGGATATGATATAGACGATGCAAGCTGTCCATTAAAAAATAACGGTATTCTATTTCACAAAGCAAAAATTTAAATCTCACTTGTATATATTAAGAATGCATATAAAGCAAAAAATTAAAGCTTATTCATGCCAAAACGAAAGCTGTTTACAAAATTTATAAAGGTGGTGAACACTACTAAACAGTGCTCATTGAAAGACATGTATAATATAGTGACATATAATTTGCCGTTTGACTTATCTTTGGTGTATGATTTTAATACCGTACATTTTCAACAGACATGCAGCTATACTTTGACATATACCATGATCGTTGGATTCAGCAATGCCAAGGGCCAATTTTATAGTCTTTTGACGGGCTTTAAGTTTTTTGATAAGGCCTTTATATAGATCAACAATCTGGATACAGTTGGCGATATTTCGGAAATCAAAAGATCTCGCTATTTCGTTGCAATTCCACATCTCATCAATAAATAAATTCTTTTGGTCCGAGTATCAGGATAAACTTTAATACTAAATAAATAACAACCACACTGTTCGGTCTAGAGATATATATTTTCTTGTAGGTTTAATCACAGTTTAATATTGCCACGCTGCACAAGCGTGCTTTCTTTGGCAAGTCTATAATGAAATCTGATCCCACTTGCTTGAATTGTAACTCGACACCAGATTATAGAGTAGAACGTCACGACATAAATATTAATTCAAAGAGTTCTCTTTATAATTACGATTTCTTGTTGCAAATTTACAGTAAATTTCATCACCCAAAGTTGCAATTTTAAAACGCTACAAACACTCTCCTTTCCCACCCCTCTCACAGTTACAATTAAATTTACCTCCCAGAATCTGGGAGGCACGTGACCAGCCGCAGCCAGGGTCTCTCCCAGATGACAGACGGAGAGACCCTGGGAACGAGGTTGGCTTTCCCCTTACATTCTTCTTAATGATTGGAGCATGACGGTTGTATAGATTAGTTAAAGTAGACTTTAGTAACAACCAAGCGTCATTAACATTTGATTCGTTGTAAAACGGCATCCAATTAATTTTCCGTAAATCAGTTTTCAACAATTCTGGATTGTAGTTTTTATAGTCGCGACAGGATATCAGCCTGGCATTGTAGTGGTTTGAATTTAACTTTCGTGCACAACCTATCATTTCGTGATCTCCAATGCTTGTAGGAATGACTTCAGATTGTACTAAGTTCACAGGTTTGTTTGTTAAAATGATATCGATTAACGATTCAGTACTTTCTGCGATTCTTGTGGGCTGCCTAATCATTTGTTTGAGGCCATGCACATTAAATATTGACTTAAGATCTTTATTGTCTTTATTGTCAAGAAAATTTGCATTCATGTCCCCGAGGAGTATGGTTTCCTTTGATTCACTCATAGCTTTTGTTAGCATGCTATTAAACAGTTCATTAAAGTCTTTGTTTAGGTGCTTGGATGAATCAGGAGGGCGGTAGACAGACGCAATCAAAATACCTTTCGAACTTTTAGGGCGTATTTCAAACCAAACAACTTCAATTTTTTCGTTTTCTAAATCTAGTCTACGATCCCAAATAAGTCCATATCCCATATAAGTCCATACTATCTTTATCAGTGATACCACTATAACCACAATGCAAAGCGCTACGAAAACGTAATATAAACGGGAATCTAGTATTATTACTTGTTTAAAAACGAAGAGTATCTGACTGGCATACTGTATAACACAATAACTAAAGAGTTCGGAATTTTTCAAAAGCTACTCCTAACACAACCTCGTACCCACGGCCTGCCCGCCCGATTTTTTAATGGCTAGCCCTGGGTACGAGGTTGCTCCCAATGGTTGCTCCTAACAGCCGTTGCTGTGGCAACAATGACGTCACAACATGGCGGCTTTTAGTACCTATTCCGGGTAAAAACAGTTTCATATATACGCGCATTCACTAATGAGTAATGACAAGCCATACATTTTCCAATAACGACTAAACGTGGATGCTAAACAATTGTAACAATACTTTAATAATCTTTTATATTTTATAAATCCATTTTGAAAATATTTAATATATTGAATAATGCTCATTATATTTATCATGACGAAATGTTTCTGGGCCTTGAATAGGTATGACACGTTGTACATACTAAGACCATCTATTTAATTTATATTTTTAAATTCGATCAATTCCATCATTTTTGTCAATACAATAATAATGTGCTTCAGTGTTTACAACATAGCCATAGGAAAATAACAACACGCTGAAGCGAAGGCAACCAAGTTCAAATTTGGTGAATGTGCTACTGACTATACTGTTAGTCTGTTAATAAAAACAATGAAACTAAACGTATTTCTTCTATAAATACGATAGTAAATTTATAGCTTAGCTTTAGCTGATGTGGTAGTATAGACCTAAATAGTAAATACCATAAACAAGGTCTATATATAAGAATTACCTAACCAATTCAACTATTTTCAATCAATGTCATGCAATGAATAATTTTGTGAATACTGCATCGGTAGAGACAAGTAGATTTTTAGTGCTCTTTATAATGAAATTTAACAGTTTGATTATAAAAAACATATACTGTAGTTTATGCATGCACATCAGTTAAAAAAAAAACAAGTCTTGACAATACCAATAACTACAATAACCACCACGTTGATTACTTTTTAACAATGAGTTTAAGGATTAACACCGAAAATGCAAAGTATGCATGGTGTGATGTGAAGCGTACGATAAGTCCTATTGATCCTACTGTAAGCCCTTTCGATACACGAAATTGTAAATTTGTATTCTTAACAATCAGGGTTCGTAGTCCCCAAGACCAAAAAAATTCAAAGACTTTCAAAGATTTTTTCTGCGTCAGGCTATTTTCAAAGACTTTTCAAAGACCTTTGAAAGCAATTAGTTGTCGAAAAATTGCGAGTGTAAGCACCATTTTTTAGTTCCATCAAATCACATCCTAAAATGCGCCTTTTTGTCGATATTTGCGAAAATCTTGCTTCAATCAATCCATTTTTAGCTAGGAAATCATATAATCAATTCCCCACTAAAGAAATTAAAGACTTTCAAAGACATTCTTCGCTTTTTCACACAATTCAAAGACTTTTCAAAGACCTTAAAGACTTGCATTCAAATTTAAAGACTTTCAAAGATTCAAAGACCGCTACGAACCCTGACAATTTTGAATTGATACTGATTTCAAATGACTAAAGCCATGTAATAATTATCAGTGCAACTATTAGGAAGTGTGAAATTTTGAACGGGGGACGAAAATCCTAAAGAAAAGGTGAAGTTTCTAAAGGGGGGGCGAATTCCCTAAAGGGGGGGAGCGAGTTTCCTACGAATTTCGCCCCCCGGGAGGGTGATATTACTAGGAATTTCGCCCCCCTGGGAAGCGATGTTGTAGGGAGGGGTGGGGAGCGAAACATTTTGCGCTAAAGCCTTGAAAATACATTTGTTGAATGCGTAATGTTCTGCCGACCGTGGCTTCATGCCCACCGTCTGAATTTTTCCTAACAGCTTGTGCTTTTCACAAGCAATATACTTGAAACAAAATACCAAGTTCAAAAACATTCGCAAAAGAAAACTAACAGTTCAACATACCTTCGTAATGTAAGGACAGCGGATCATTTGTGTTAACCTGGTCGGTCCAGGCTTGAAGAACCCTCACCGCTTTTCCGCGCCATTCAGTGAGTACTCGCGACGCCAGAATATCGAGTTTACTTTTAGCGCGCACTGTCTTGCGTTTACAGTCATCAGTTGCATACTGTGCTTCATTGTTCGTATTTCTGATCAAACTTTGGCGAAAACGATCCGAATTTCGTGGGATCACATCTCGAATCTGTCCGCAAACTTTGTTTTCGCCACCACTTGGATAGCTCTGGCGATAGCCGAGCGAAGAAGGCGGGTTCTGTGAGTTCACAGTTCCCAAAAACAATAAAACTAAGACAAAGACAGGAGCCGTCATCTTAGATCGTTTGCTTTTTTGCCAAGATTGACTTGTCCGGGTAGTCTTTACTGACTCGTCCTTGTAAACTTTCTCTCCTTAATTTCTTTTTCTGACAACGTTCTTGTTTTTTGTATTTTCTTGTATAGGATTGATATCTTCGTCGGCTGAAAATGGTGTTGTGTATACTGTCCACCCTGCCTCTTCAAAGGCCAGTCCTGTGTGGATAAATATTGAGAAAGATTGCTAGTCTTATACCACAGCAGTCACGCGAGCCGGAAGTAAACAGTGGTTA